AGCACTGGCCAGGATATTCATCCACATATGTATATGGACCTTATTATCAGAAATGGCTTATCTACTATTTGTAACGGACACAGGGATATGACCTTGTAGTTCTGCAAGTAGGATTGTATAAGATTGTATCCTTACTATTGCATTATTAGGGGATATGATCCTGGTACTTGGTGTCTAACAAAACCCTCGGCCTCCTATGTGGCATACTAGCATGCAAAACCACTGTTTTCAGGACAAAAAACCATCTATGTAAACCAGGTTGTGGTATAAAATAAAATGCTCCAGTTGGGATTAAGTACGAGGGGCATTATTTTGGTGAAATATAGCTTGAGGAAGTAGAGGGAACCTTTTCTTTCAAATCAATAATGTGTTTCATCCCAACACAAACATCTGGAATATCTACATGAAGGTATGCTGGAATACAGGGTCATGGTTTTTAGCTATAATTGTCTGTTCACGGATGATTATTAACGGCTTACGGCTCAAACAGAAATATATTTCACATAATGACATGCTTGCATCGATTAGAAGATCATCAGGTCAGTTACAGTGAGAAAAGGGTTGGCAAATTTGTATGACCTGAGTTTCTTTCACAGTGTATTTCTCCAACAGCGTCTTCTTCTGCTCCTTTGTGAGGAGCACGTGCTCAGGAACCAGATCGTGATTCTTAATGTTTATAAGAAGCTCCCCTTCCTGCAGGACAACACTACATTAAATGTCAGCGACCGGTTCCCATGGCGAGAGGCACTGGATATTAGTCAGACGAGTACGAGGCATGGATGTAGAGCGCGACCTGGAAGACCTCGAGCATCAGTTTCTCCTTCTCCTGCGATAACCCGAGCACCGCGTTCCGGGCAAAGGCGGTCAGCGCCTGCTGCACCACGAGTATGCCATTGTTGACGTTCTCCTGCTTCATCTTCTCGGCGTAGCTCTTGACCGTCTTCATGCCGGGCTTGGGCTCGTTCGGGAAGAAGACGTAGATCTGGAGCGGCATTGCCAACACCGTCAATCAGTCCACGCCCTAGTACGGAAATCGCGGGGAGGAGGTGGGGGGCAGGGGACGCACCTGTTCGTCGGGCTTGTCCTTCTTGGCGCGGTTGATGACGAGGTCGTCGCGGCGCACGGGGTCGCCGTAGCGCCCGACGAACTCACCCATGGTCATGTCGACGTCGGCGTCCACCACCAGGTACCCGCGGTCCCGCAGCATCTGCATCACCGTGCGCCGGACGCGGAACAGCCGGCTCGCCTCCCCCTCTGCCGCCGCCATCCCTTCGCCGATCGCCCGCGCGAATTTTTCGCCTGCCTTTTGAGGAGAAAGGACCGGAGGCACCGGACGTAGGGGTTTGGGGGGAGGAAGGAGGGTTCCAGAGACACCGGCACCGATTGGCGAGGAGCGAGGAAGAGTGGGTCGGAGCCGGACCCGAGACCGAGTTATGGGGGTTTAATATGGGCCGGAGAATGATCTGGGCTGGGCTGGCCCTACGAACATATATGAGGAATACACACAGCGGATCTGGGCTGGGCCGGTTCCTATGGCTTTTTTGTAGAAACCGTGGCATTTCGTGGAGGAACCACGAACTTTTTTTGAGAAACCATGGCATTTACAATGTACTATATACCATGACATTTTTATTTTTAAGTGCATGTCATTTTCTTTATTAAGAGCATGTCATTTCTATTTTAAAGAACATGGCATTTTTGTTATTAAGAGCATGGCATTTTTTTTATAAAGAGCATCGAATTTTGTTTGCATAAGCATGCCACCTTTATTTTAAAAGAGCATGGCACTTTTAATTCAGAGAGCGTGGCATTTTTATTATAAAGAGCATGGCACTTTTCTATTGAGTGTGGCATTTTTTATTTTGCATTGTAGAGCATTGCAAATTTGTTAGTGAGAACTTGCCCCTTTTTTATTATTAAGAGCATGCCTTTTCTTTTATTAAGATCATGGCATTTTTTAATCTGTAGCGTGGTAAAATTATTTTTACCATGTTTTATAGCATGGCAAGTTTTAGAAAATCACATGATGTTCACATGGGAACTGATAAACGTTTAAAGAGCATGGCAGGATTTTCTTTTACTAACAACATGCACTTGTTGAAGAGCATGGCAATTTTATTATTAAGAGCATGCCACTTTTTTATCTGGAACATGATTAATTTTATTTTAATATATGGATCATGTCATTTTTTGAGTTGTTTGTTATGACAAAGAACATGGCAATTTTTTAATTTTGGATAACTCCATTTTTTTATTTACATTTTCTGGCATTTTATTATCTCAGTCCTAACTTTTTCCTTTTCTACCTTTTATTATTTTATTTTATTGCAAAACTTAAAACTTGTTAACATGGCAACTAAATTTTTGTTGTCATCGCAACTTAAATTATAGAACCATGACAATTAAAATACATTTTTGTCTTTGTTTTTTAGTGGACCATGGCATTTTTATACACACATTTTTTATTTAATACACAAATCTGCCTTAATCAATACGTGTTCTATTTGAACATGATGGCTTTTTTTATTATGTACATCATGGAATTGTGTGTGTGTGTGTGTTTAACTATTTAAGATAAGGTCCATACACCCATTTAAAAAAATCTCACGGGAAAATGGGATTTTTTGGCCCAACTGTTTGGTCGTTCCTCCCCGCGTGATTGGTCGAGACGTTCGCAGTTGTCCCCTCCCAGGTGAACATTCCCTAGTTATTCGGGTCCTAAGACAAAATGGAAAGGGTTTTTTGTGCCTTTCCCCTAGAAGAATACATCTCTTTACCAGAAAAAGAAAGAAGAGGAAAACACATCTCGTTCTCTTTTCATCAAAATGATTTAGAATTGAGAGTCACTTACAAAAAATGACTCCATGCTCCTCTTTTGTTTCTCTAAGTCGTTTGTGCTTGGGGAGGAAGTCGGTCCAATCGAACCGGGAGTAGCATACCGGGTAGACATGAGGGGTATTAGAGACTAACACGCACTTCACCACGCCGCTCTTCACTCGTGTGATTGTCTTCTTTCTCTAGCAAGTTGTTGCAGACAATTGTTTCGTTTTGGTTTTACCTGCGTTTGCTTGGGTCAATTATTTTTATGGTTTTTTTAATCTCATTTACCTATCGTGTTGGGGTGCTTTTTGAGACAATATTTACTCTAAAAGGAGAGTGGAGTTGTTCAATGTGTGGTTGTGGTGTCCTTACACATCTCGGCTCTCGCGAAGATTGTTATGTGAGCCCCCTAGGAGCTCTTATTCTACACCAAAATCATGGAATTGCTACTATAACGTTCACATGGGTCGGTTCATGAAGCCCCCGCTCGCTTAGGTGGCTCCCTGCTCCACTCGCCCGCCTAGAATTTTTTTTCCGCTCGCTCCATTGCTATCTTATAAAAAGTCGGTTGTCGCTTTATTTTTAGAACATTCGTTGAACTAAAATATGTCCATGGGTTTTAAAATTCATATATTTCGGAATGTTCATGAATTAATAAGTTTTATGAATTAAAATAATCAAAGATTTTGTTTAAAGGTTCACCATATTTAAAATGTCACAAATTTTATTAAATGTTCATGCATTAAATTGTGCAAAACAAATAATTAAAAACAAAGAAAGAAAACTAATAAAAGAAAAAACAAATAAGAACCCTCAACCAACTATATACACCCTTACAAGCAGGTCCCAGCGACCCCACAGACCCCGACAAACTGGGAGGCTCCAAATCTAGTGAGCTTAATATCTTAATAGAAAATTAGCAAAATTTTAAAATGTACATGAATTTAAAAAATGATCGGGGATTTTTTTAATGGTTAGTGTATTTTAAATGTTCACTAATTTTAATAAATGTTTATGAATTAAAATGTGCAAAAAATATATATTTTTTAAAACAAGCAGGAACCCTCAACCAACTACATACACCCTTACAGGTGGGCCGCAACGACTCCATTGACCCCGACGGACCAAGATGCTCAAAATATAGTGAGCTTAGCATCTTAATAGATTCCATTCAAAATAATATGACGGTGTGGTCACAAAAATGTGGAGAAAATTAACTCAAATTGTGTTATTTTGTCTAAGTGGGACTTAAATGTGTGTTGTTGGCAAAAGACAAAACAAAGGAGATGTCCTTTGGAGAAAGGCAAAAGGAGTGAGTGCCTTTTTGTCAAATTTCTCTTCCAAAGAAGGGTGTGCCACTGGTTTCTCAACAGTAAAAAAGGTGGCCCAAAAGTTGTTGGAGAATCCTTGTTGGCATTTGTGGCCCATTCCTGTTTTTTT